TGGCCGTGGAGGCGGCGGCGGTGGAGGTGGTGGTTTTCGAGGAGGCCGAGGCAAGTCATATAATATTGTTTTAAGTACCGATATACTATTTTATGTGGATCATATGCAGTACGATTCCATAATTATTAACTTAATCTTGAAAACCATTACGATGTCATTCAAGATTTGTAAAAACTTTATACTTGTTTTCAGTTTAATATTTCTTTCAATTTAAATATTTTTCCAAGTATATCTATTAATTATTATTGATTGTATGTAATAATGACAATAAAAATATAAAACATTATTTTGTAATTGTAGGTGATGGAGGTGGCCGTGGAGGCGGAGGTGGTAATTTCCGCGGTGGTGGTGGAGGCCGCGGTGGCGGAAGAGGTGGTTTCAATAGGTTTGCAGAACAAGGCCCTCCAGAAGAAGTAAGAATTATTTTAAATTTTTTTATTGGTAAATTTCATAGATTTGAGATTATTTTTTTTCTCAACCTCTTTTTCTGTATTAATAAAATAGGTAGTGGTAGAAATAAATATACAACTATTAAACATGGTCTAGGTTTAGGATACATTGTGTATCAAGTAAGTTACCTACTGCTTATGAGAAAATTCTAAATATTGTGGGCTTCAGATGTGTACTAGGTCTAGACATAGCTTTTAGAAAACATCCACATTAACATTTATTGGTAGTATTTAATATAATATATAAATATCTGAGGTAACCATTAACCCTAGCCATAATATAATTTATCTACATAGGTAACTTTAAACTTACCTAATTTTAGAAAATCAAACAGGTACGTAATGTCCCACCTTGTAATTGTACATACTAGGCAATTTTTCCATATTATGTTATGGAAGGTAAATTATAAAAAAAATCATGAAAATAAAAGTTGTAGAGCTCGTGTCTGTGCTATTTTGTCTTCTACCTATAAAAATATTTAAGTTACAAAATGTACAATCTGTACACATAATAATATAAAGGGTAAATAAGTCTACTAAATGTGAGAGAAGGGAGCAACTATTGACATTACTTTTGTACTATTAAGATAACAAGATTACCAAATAGTGGTTGCATACCTACTAGCTGCATTTAAAGATAACTTAACTACAAATTAAGTTTTATAATTTTATTGTCTTTATTTCAATTAATTTATAGTTACATATTATACGTATATTATATTTATTAAATAATTTAATTTATTCTGTTATACAGTTTAATACATTTCACTGATTGAAGTGAATTGTGTTTTTTTAAGTACAAATTTTCTCATTTTTAAAAGTATTTAAGAAGACCTTACATCTGCATGTGTTGTCTCTGTCTTACAAATGTAAAACATGGTAAAAACTGTTTTTCGCGGGAAAGAACCACTCGGGCTGTAGTCCTGACTAAGGCACTAAGCAACTAAATGTTCACACTATCAAGAGGAGAACATTTATTGTGAAACTTAGTTTTTATTTTTTTGATATCAGAACTAAAAAAAAAGTTATTCAAGTTTGAAAATTTCAAAAATAATGAAGTTTTAAACAATAAAATTTTTTTTAATTTGTGATATTGAAAAAATAAAACGACGTTGCTCAGTAAATGTTCTCTTCTTTATAGTGTGAATGTTTGGACTACAGCCTGAGTGGTTCTTGCCCTCTGTGGTTCTTGTTTTACATATTTGTAAGACGGAGATGACACATGCAGTCCTCTTAAGTTTTGGGTTTTTTTTTCTCGATTCTTTACAGAAATAATTGTTTATATTATTTTTCATGGAATTATAACTAACTATTTAGTTGGTAATTCACCTAAAAATCTTCATTTACATTTATATTGCAGTGGAGTTAACAATATTTTTATTGTTTAGTCGAAATTGTTTATTCAGGTATTCTATGGATTTGTATTTGATCCACTGAACTGTAAACATGGCACATGCAAAGAACCGAAAAACTTTTATCCCTATTGGATTATGATAGGATTCAGTTTTCTATGTTTTCATTATTTTATTAATACCTACATAGATTCATTATTCGTAAGAATTGTATTTTTATTCATATTATTCCAATGAAAGTTTAGCAAATTAATGAAAACGGAAACTTCTTATAAGGGGACTTTTTAATGCACATATTGTATACAACACGTGTTCTTATATGCAGTTCAGTAATTTTTTCATCGTTATTTTTTTTCATTTACTCTAAACAATAGGTATTGCCAAGTACAAAATTAATAATTAGTAGGGATTTAAAATGTATTTATTGAGTTATTTATAATGAAAAATCTTAAT